CTCAGCCTAAACAATTCCTCCCAGTGTCTTCCATTAGAGTGGGCATAGTGGTTGTCTCAGTTAGGGTTTCTGTTACCGTGAAGAGACATCACGACTTATAAGCACTTACAAAGGAAAAACGTTTAACTGGGGTGGCTGACATTTTCAGAGGTTTAGTCCATTATCATCATGGTGTGACATGGCAGCACACAGGCAGACATGGTGCTGGAGAAGGAGCTGAAAGTCCTGCATCTTAACCTTCAGACAACAGGAAGTGGTCTGAACTAAGCGTAGCTTGAGCAAAGGAAACCTCAAAGCCCACCCCCACAGTGACACACTTCCTCCAACAAGGCCACACTTACTTCAACAAGGCCACACCTCCTAATAGTGCCACTCCCTATGAGCTTATGGAGGCCAATTACATTCTAATTACCACAGTGGTCATGAAATCCTTTAGTCTGCTCTTACTGTGGAGAGTTTTTCCTTCTTCAATTGTGATAGTTTTTCTAAGTACCTTAGTCTAGGTTGGCAGTTATTATCTTTTAGGACCCAAAATACATCACCACAAGTCCTTCTGACTTTTTAATTTTTTTTCTGTCTAGAAATCTCCTATTTTGATGAACCCACCTTTGTGTATAGCTTGATGCTTCTGGAAGCTTCTAACTTAATTTATTCGTTCTGTGTATTTAGTGTTTTAACTACAATATAATGAATGTGGGAGGTTCTTTTAATTTTGTTTGTTTGATGTTATAAATGCTTCATACACCTACATGGGCATCTCTTTTTCAAGATTTGAGATGTTTTCTGCTATAATTTTATTGAAAGTGTTTTCTGTTCCTGTAGCAAGAAATTTTATTTTGCTTCTTTGCTATTTCCATGGCTCATATATTTTGTCTTTTCATCTGTGTTCCATAGATCTCACAATTCCATTTTTTCTTAAACTTTATCTTTGTTATTCTGATGGGTTATATTTTATATAGGACTTTTTCCCCCTCTTGCGGCTTTCAATGCTCTTTATTTGTTCTGTATATTTAGTGTTTTAACTATCTGTCATGGGGAGAATTTTTCCTGGTCTTGTCTATTTGGTGTTCTGTGTGTTTCTTATATCTGTATGGCTGTGTCTTTCATTAGTTTGGGGAAGTTTAGTTCTGCGATCTTGTTGAAGATCTGGTCTATGCCATTGCCTTGGGGTTCGTTTTCCTCATCCATCCTTCTGTTTTGCAGATTTGGCCTTTTCATGGTACCCTTCATTTCCTGCATGTTCTTTTCCTGTGTCCTTTTAAAATTTTCAAATTCTTTGCTTGTTTGGCCTATTTCCTCTACTTTGTCCTGGAGTCTCCTGTTCTCCCTTCTATTTCATCCACTCTCCTTGGAAGGCTTTTCTTTGAGTTTTCTAGTTGGGTTACTGAATTTTTCAACTCCATCTTCCTTTCAGTTTGAGTCTTTTCAGTATATCTATCTCTTCATTGGATTTGCTTTTCTAGGTCTGTGTTGTTTTGTCCTATCATTCAGCCTTGTGTTTGTGTTTCCTTGGGCATCAGTTATGTGCTTATTGTCTTTGAGTTCATTCTCTCCTTAAATTCACTGAGATGTCTGTTTGTGTCCTCTTGAAAGTCCTTGACTTCTAGCCTGGCAGGCAGTGGTGGCACATACCTTTAATCCCAGCACTTGGGAGGCAGAGTCAGGTGGATCTCTGTGAATTTGAAGCCAGTCTGGTCTACAGAGTGAGTTCCAGGACAGGCCCCAAAGCTACAGAGAAACCCTGTCTCAAAAAAACCAAAAGAAAAAAAAAGTCCTTGACTTCTTTGATGATGTTTAAGGTTACCCTTTTAAATGTTGTGCTCCATGGTTCATTTAGATGATTCTCTTTAGAGAACATTTCTATAGGAATGGTAGCTTAGGGGAAGTATACTGCTTGATCTTTCACACTATCATTATGATGAGACATGGGCAAGTAGACTCTTACGTTGAATGTGTGACTGGTGTGAACAGAGAAGTCTGGGCTGGTGCCAGGTGGTTGGGAAGGGCACAGACAGGGCTCACCAGTTGGGGCTTGGGCTCTGTTTGTGGCACCTGGTGTAGGTCTGGGAATTGGAAAGTGTGCAGACAGGGCAGAATCAGGCAGACCCACTAGGCTGGGTCAGAGCACAGGTTATGTGCGCCCTACTGGGCCTGGAGTGTGAATCTGACACACACAGCTGTGAGGTAACTGGAGTCGGAAGGGGTTGTGCCAGGGAGCACAAGAAGGTTACTCCTGTCTCTGTGCCAATGGGCTGGCTATAGGGTCCCTGCAGGAAGGGGTTTGTGGTCTAGTGAGTTACAATGGGAGGAAGAGTCTGGATGAAGGTCATGATTCCTGCCAAGCAGCTTAGGCAGGAGGGAGTTGAGACACTAGTTGAACTTGAAACACAAAGAAAAATAAAACCAACCAACCAATCAAAAACCAAAAATCATCCTTGTTTTTTTTTTAGTAGCAATGTATGCAATATTCAACAGGGACTAGGCTGTAGTAGGGTTAAGCTGTCATTTCCCCCTGCAAGGCTGCTGTTTGGAGGCACCAGGCTTTATCCTCAATATTGCTCTAAGATAGAAAACTGTCATCAAAAACAATCATTATTAAAGGGTATTAGTACTCAAATGGAAAAATAATCACCACTTAAGCATCAACCACATTAAGAAGTAGAGGAGCACTATGTGTGTTTACTGATGTATTAGTTACTATGATTGCATGGAAAGGGAATAAATATAGAAAGCAAGTAATTAATAATGAGCTGGAGAAAAAACGGGGGCAGAAATGTGTGAACTGCTATGGAATAATCCTTCGGTACACTGTGTAAATCATGCTGTGATTGGTTTAATCTTTAGAAGCTGACTGCCCAATAGCTCAACAGGGTAAGATTAGGCAGGAGAACCAGACAAGGACACTGGGAAGAAGGGTAGAGTCAGAGGAGTTGTCAGAAAGACACAGAGAGGAAACAGGAAGTTCGAGATGAAAGAGAGGTAATGCCAAGTGGCAAAATGTAGATGAACATAAATGGGTTAAATGAAGTTGTACGAGCTATTAGTAATAAGCCTGAGCTATCGGCTGAGCATTTATAATTAATATTAAGTCTCCAGGTCAGTTATTTGGGAACTGATGGGTATTTGGGAACAGTCTACAATGAACATATGAGGGGGTGATAGGGACAGAGGCAGGAGACGAGGCAGTTTGGGCTCAAAGTCTAAAGAAAAGACTAAGAAAAAGAAATGCAATCAGGTAACTTCAATCAGCCACAGCTCTCAGAGCACCTAGACACACGAACCCTGGGAAAGCTTGTACATAGGAAGATGGAAAGAGAAAGAGGAGAGGGGCAGGGAGAGGGCAAAAACAGAGCAGGACAAAGTGGGTTTTGTTTATTTGTTGTTTTTTAATTGGCAGTGAGTATTAAACAAGACTAGAGGGGCCACAGTTTGTGCATTTTGCCCTGCTTTCTGGTCTATACTGAGTCTCAAGGTTATTTCCTGGTCTTGCAGATGCCTGTCACACCCAGAGAGCTCCTGTGCGAGGCTGGGTCTCAGATATTGCTCACAACTTGGGAAGATCCTTCAAAGGCTGGTTGCCTATACCTGCCTCTCCCTCAACCAGCTCTTTGCAAAACTGGGCCACAGATGCTGGTCCCATCTTCATGGGTCAGGATTTGAATGTTGAACCTGTTCCTGTGCAATCCTGCCTTGAGGTTCTGTATGCCACTTGAATCTCAAGTCTGTTTTCCTGGAGACTCTGGCTCCAATCAGGGTTCCATCTTGTTGAATGCAATGTGGTTCTGATTATGAGTATCTTCCCTTTCGATTGCAGGTATTAATCTGCCCAGGTTTCAGAGTATATATAGTCCCATGATACATGCAGTGAGGTTTCCCTGACATGTAGTTCACAGAGGGCCTGGGGTTGTCAAGACTCTGACTCAGCAGGAATCTTTTTTTAAATGGCAGCTGTTCCCGTCAAGTGGAGCAAGGGCAGCATCTCCTCTTGTCGGTGCTGGCACCCCGACACTTTTTCTGCTCTTTACAACATCTGTTACTGAAAGTGCAAGTCCAGCTTTTTCTGAGCCTCTGTCTTAAGCTGTGGCTTCTGCCATCTGCTGTGGTGGGTTCCTGTCACTGAGAGTAGAGAGCTCCCCAAATGGTGCCAGTCCCTCTGGGATGGACTCAAGACTTTCTCTCCTTTGTGAAGTCCCCCATTTTATGTTGTTGTTAAAGCTGGGGATATTTCAGCATCGCCAGCCTCTTCTGATACCTGTTTCCACCTTTCCTGTTGATTCTCTGGAGATTGCAGCAGACCTTTCCTTCCTCCATCCTCCATTTTCTGAAGATCTCTACCCACCTATGTCTGCTCCTACTTTACCTTTAGAATTATTGTGTGAAAATCTGGAATAAATGAGAGATGGTCCTTAACACAGATTAGAACTCTGTCCTTTTCACTTGACATGTGACCATGTGGACAACTTAAAATCTTACTCTTGGAAGTCTTGCAGCTTTCTGCTGGGTCTCTTCTATCTAGGCCTGGCTGTGCGGGGTGGGAGAGGTTAGGATGGAGGCCCTTATCTGATCCAGAAGCCTGTAATGGGCTTTTTTCCTTCCTTTATAAGTCCTTCATTTTGCCCACACCTCTCTGCTCTGCACGTGCCTATCTTATCCTTCTACCACCCTCCCACTCTTTCATTTTAGCCATTCCCAGGCTCCAGTCAGACATCTCTCCGCTGTGGGGGGTCCTTTCAGCTTTTTTTCCTTTTGAAACCCTCCCTGGTCTGAGTGATGATTACTCTTCTATTTTTACACTGCCCCTGACATTAAGATATTCAGAGAAGACATTCAATTCATAATCATCTAAGTATTTGTACAATTTCTGTACCACACAGAAATTTCCCTGTATTGTTATGTATTCACACAGAAATTTCCATTTTAGGTTCAATCAGTTGCCCGCAGCAGCTGCTGAGGCTCAGTTCTCTTATAGCCCTCCTTGTCTCCCTTTTGCTTCTGGAAACATGGCCTCTGCTGTGACTGTCTCTGCTGGTGTCATCAAGGAGTTCAATGACATGAAATTGCACAAGTCCTCAATGCCAGGAGAAGTGAAAAAATACAAGAAGGTAGTGCTCTTCTGCCTGAGTGAGGACAAGAAGAGCATCATCTTGGAGGAGGTCAAGGACATCCTGGTATGGAATGTGAGGCAGGCTGTGGATGACCCTTACACCACTTTTGTCAAGGTGCTGCCAGACAAGGACTGCCACTATGCTCTCTATGATGCAACCAAGGAGAGCAAGAAGGAGGAACTGGTGCTCATCATCAGGACCCCTGAGTGTGCATCCCTGAAGAGCAAAATGATCTATGCCAGCTCCAAAAAGGCCATCAAGAAGAAGCTGCCAGGAATCAGGCATGATTCACAAGCAAACTGCTATGAGGAGGTCAAGGACTGCAGCACCCTGGCAGAAAAACTAGGTGCCCTCCATTTCCTTTATCAGCTGCCTCCAGCCTCTGCCTGGAACATCTAGCAGCCCCAGACATGCTCTCCGGTGTTGCTGGCTGCCTCTTTCCTGCCAGACCAGAGGGGCATAGGGAGAGTAATCCTTCACCTCAGTTGCCAAATGCTCCCCAACCCCCTGGGCCATCCTCCTGCCTCCATCCCTGGTAGATCTGGCCTTCCCAAACTGTTTCTGATTCCTCTTGAATTGAAGCAGACCAAGTTTTTCTTTCTTTCTTTCTTTCTTTCTTTCTTTCTTTCTTTCTTTCTTTCTTTCTTTCTTTCTTTCTTTCTTTCTCTCTCTCTCTCTCTCTCTCTCTTCTCTCTCTCTCTCTCTCTCTCTCTCTCTCTCTCTCTCTCTCTCTCTCTCTCTTTTTCATGCTCTTTGACTCTTTTGAGGGACTACCACCCAGCTCCCAAATAATCACATGGAGTCTTATTTTTTCTTATGAATGCCTGGCCTTAGCTTGGCTTGTTTCTAGCCAGCTTTTCTTAACTTAAATTACCCCATCTACCTTTTGCCTCTGGGCTTTTATCTTTCTCTATTCTGTATACCTTTCTTTCTTTCTTGCTCCATTGCTGGTTGTGTAGATGAGTGGCTGGCCCTGATGTCCTTCTCTTGCTCCTCGATCTCTCCTCCCAGATTTCTCCTATTTATTCTCTCTGCCTGCCAGCCCCACCTGTCCTTTCTCCTGCTCAGCTATTGGCCGTGTTCAGTTCTTTATTAGACCAATCAGGTGTTTTAGACAGGAAAAGTATTCTACAGCAATAAGTCCCTTCCCAGGCACCCAGTTTGAAGGGAGCCTGTATTTTTTTAATGATGCCCCTATTACTCATCCCTCCCATCCCATGCAGCCAGCTTCTAACCACGACAGTGACTCTGTGCTTGTCTGTTTAGTTGTGTGTGTAAATGAAATGTGGAAATGACCCTCCCTGGACCAACTACTTGCTCTCCTCTTTCCCTTGTTCTTGGACACTCATGGAAGCAGGACCAGTAAGGGACCTTCAGTTTATACAACAATAAGCAACAACAACAAAAGAAATTTCCGTTTTGAACTCCAGTGAGATGACCTGGTAAACTTTGCTGTCTATGTCAAAACTTTTGAGCTGCACTGAGTATATATTTGGGCAACTGAATCTTTTGGCTGCTATAGCCAGTGGGACACAATTTAAAGAAAAACAAGATAACACTAAAATTTGGACTGCTTTTACGGAATTCGTTTGTTTTTCTTTCTGAGTTTTGGCTAGCACATACGACTTTCATGGTAGAGTTATTCAAACTCTTACATAATTAAATAGAATAGTCTGAAGTGGTAAAAATTCCTGATTGTATTCATTTCTAAATGAAAACAGTTGTGTCACTTTTAAGGACATATAGTGCTATGAGTCATTTAGAAAGTATTAACAATATTTGTTCGAACGACCTACTGTATTAGTATAACAGTCAATAGGCCAAATTTTATATTGAGCGCCACAAGACCCTACTGTGAATCTCAGTTTTCTTTGTAAAAACCTTACGTCCTTGGCTAAGTCCTTCGGTTTCCCCACCGCAACATCTTCTGAATCAGCCCAGATGATCCCAAGAGGGAAATATAAACAAAGGCTCGAGAGATGGCTATGAGCACCCATGTCTGGAGACACACAACTTTTTCTAACCCCAGCCCTAGGGGATCCAACACTGTCTTCTGAACTCTACAGGCATCTGCACTCATCACACACACACACACACACACACACACACACACACACACACACATATGCACACACACTTAGATGTGCACATACACAAATAGAAAGTGAAAAGAAAATATACACAGAGTAATTTATGTGCATACATTGAGAATATAACTACAAAAGAAATGCAGCCAATATTAATATTTTCATTTATTTCTTTCAAAAGGTATGTCTAAAGTAGTTATTATTTTCTACACATAATAGCAACTATATTTGCCATTTACTAAGCAAACTCCTTATAGCTTTCTGTCTGAATTATATCTTCTTTATAAGAGATTTAAATTAATGTAAATTAAATGTGACAAGGACGGGAACACTTATTTTTCAGCTTCCTCAATCGAGTTGTTCCTAAAATCTTCTGTCAGGTTTGAGCAGAGAATTGTGGCAGCAGGAAATAGCTTAACGACCAGCCCTTCATAGAACCTGAATGTGGGTCCTGGAGGAATGCAACTTAATGTGGCGTGCAGCTGTAAGGCATGCCTGCCCTGGAGTTCCTCTGGTCTCTTTCATTCCATTAGCCCACACACTTGGCTTCAAGTTCTTGTAAACTCAGAGGTGATGACATTCTAGAGGCACCTGTTCCCTCCATGTAGATCAGATATGACTCGGGATGCATCCTCAGGTCAGGGAGGACCCATGTAGACATGCAAATAAGGAAAGAAACAGGGCACAGTGAATGGGTTGGATATTGATGTATTTCTATGAGAAACTGTGACAAAAGCCTGTATGACCCCTGAAGATGTCATGGGCATTTCCTCAGCAAACAGGGTCAAGGGACGGCTGTGGATATTGCTCTGTATGCTGTGAACGTGCTGCTCTGATTTGGTTGATAAATAAAACGCTGATTGGCCAGTAGCCAGGCAGGAAGTATAGGTGGGATAAGCAGAGAGGAGAATTCTGGGAAGAGGAGGGCTGAGTTAGGAGTTGCCAGCCACAGACGAAGCAAGATATGAAGGCAGAACTGAGAAAAGGTACCAAGCCACGTGGCTAAACATAAATAAGAATTATGGGTTAATTTAAGATGTAAGATCTAGCTAGCAAGAAGTCTGAGCCATTAGGCTACACAGTTTTAATTAATATAAACCTCTGTGTGTATTTATTTGGGTCTGAGCATTTGTGGGCCAGGGCAGAACTGGAGAAAACTCCCGCTACAGGGGACTCTTATTTTAAAACATCCGTGGCCAGGGGTGGTGACACACACCTTTATTTATTTGTTTGTTTGTTTGTTTATTTATTTACTTATTGGGTTTTTTGAGACAGGGTTTCTCTGTGTAGCTTTGCGCCTTTCCTGGAACTCACTCTGTAGTCCAGGCTGGCCTTGAACTCACAGAAATCCACCTTCCTCTGCCTCCCGAGTGCCGGGATTCAAGGCATGAGCCACCACTGCCCAGCGGCACACACCTTTAATCTCAGCACTTGGGAGGCAGAGCCAGGAGGATATCTGTGAGTTCAAGGCCAGCCTGGTCTACAGAGCAAAATCCAGGACAGACACCAAAACTACACAGAGAAACCCTGTCTCAAAAAACCAAACCAAAAAAAAAAGAAGAAAAGAAAGAAAGAAAGGGAGGAAGAAAGAAAGAAAGGAAGGAAGGAAGGAAGGAAGGAAGGAAGGAAGGAAGGAAGGAAGGACGGAAGGAAGGAAGGAAAAAAGAAAGAAAGAAAAAAACCATCCAGGAAGCAATAGTTAGGAGAAAAGTTGGGCTTGGTGCTCATCACTAAATAAGAGCTCTTTCTATGACTGTATTCATTTCCACTTTCTCCAGGGTGGCAGCTGCCTCAGGATTATCTTTGTCCCAACCCTGGTGGAGGAGGCAGAACACAGCACCAAGAAGAGTCTGAAGGGGAATCTTTCCTTTGGAAGGAAAAACAAAACACTAATTCAGGAACTATGGGAAGTCTCGTGCATCTACACAGTCTCAACTATTTTCTTCCTTTTTTTTTCCCTGTGTGTGTGTATGGGTGTGTGTGTGTGTGTGTGTGTGGGTGGGTGTGTGTGTGCGTGCATGTGTGTGTGTACAAGTATGTGTGAGAGTGAAGTGCGCATATGTATGTGGATGCATGCTCCTGTGTGCATGCAGAGGTCACAGGAGGACTATCTACCTTATTCCTTTGCAACAGAGTTGCTCATTGAACCAGGAGCTAAGGTTATGGCTAGCGACCCTACAGCACAGGGGTTACAGACAGTCATGAGACCCTGTCCAGCTTCTTCTGTCAGTTCTGAGAACTTGACCTCAGTTCTTCCTGCTTGCACCACAAGTGCCCTTAACCCACCATCTCTCCAGCCCCTTATTTTCTGCTTTCTTTGTATTTCTCCATTTACATAGACTCTTGAGTAGTCACTGAACATTTGTTGCTATTTCTAGCTATCATTTTGAGAAGTTTAAAAACCTTTCAGTGACCATTAGTATTAATGAATTTTTCATTTCTTTGAAATGCTGTTTTTTGTTTGTTTTTGTTTGTTTGTTTTTTGTTTTGTTTCTTGAGACAGGGTTTCTCTGTGGAGCTTTGCGCCTGTCCTGGAACTCACTTGGTAGCCCAGGCTGGCCTCGAACTCACAGAGATCCACCTGGCTCTGCCTCCCGAGTGCTGGGATTAAAGGCGTGCGCCACTACCGCCCGGCCTGTTGCCTTATAAATTGACCTGGTCTTTTCCTAACCTGGTCTTCTAACACAGGTACTTGCTATTGATTTTCTCCTACCTCATATATATATATATATATATATATATATATATATATATATATATATATATATATATATATATATATACATATATATATATGTATATACATATATATATATCACTGTAAGATCTTGAATTTACTTTCAATAATAATGTAGCCTTTTTCTAAATACACACTTCTTGGACTGAATTTAAGCAATAGAGTAGATAAAAGCGTATTGAGTAGCAGTTAGAGTCAAAGGAATATTGTGGCACAAGGGCAATGTTGGTGAGATTTCCCCTACTGCATCAAAATGCCAGAGAGAAGCAACTTATGAAGAAAAATCATTTTGGTTTATGGTGTCAGAAGCCTAAGTCTATTGTTTCTTGGCTCTTTGCTTTTGGGCTGTGGAAAGGCAATACCCCGTGGTAGAGTGTGTACTAGAAAAAGTTACTCACCTTGGGACATACAGGAGGCCAAGACAGAGACAGGACAGTGCCAGCACCTCACACTATCTCTTAAGCAAGCCATGTTTCACAGACTATGTTAATTCCTTCCCCTTATGATCAGACTGAAGGATTTTTCAGGAGTCACAAATAGTTCACAGTTCGTGGACAGAAATTTATCATTTTTCC